CAAATTATTAAGAGTTGCATGCTTATGTTAAAAGTGGAACCCCAATGCCTTAGTGTTTTAATCAATTAAATTTTCTCTAAATCAAATCTTGCATAAATCTACCTCTCAATCATAATTGTTCTTTTTCATCTCTGTTATTTTCTTTACACTGCTCTCTGTGGATACGACACTCGAACTTCCGAGCTACACTGCTATACGACATCTCCCTTGGGTTTTGCAAAGTGGTGCGAACACGTGTCATGGCTATTTTAGTCTTTTTGCAACAAATGTTGATGTATCATGTGAAGAGCCCACTTTTTTTTTCCTTAAGTGGAATGTAAAAAAAATTTGTTCGAAAAAGTGGAATAAAATAATGTAATTCCTTTTTTTTTTTTAACCTTTTTTCCTTTCTTTCTCTCTCCCCATCTAGATCTATCTAGTTCTCTTTCAAATTCAATCCCCATCCTCGACGATAACAAAATCTTTCAGTTCTTCACACTCAAACCCATAAACTCAATTCACCAATTTCCCCCATAAACAACTACCAAAAATAATGAAAAATCTGATTTTGGCCCTTTTAATCTTCCTCCTGTTTGCTTTGTCAAATGGGTATGGAGGAACCAAGGTCTGAGGTGATTCAGTTCTTGGAGGTGGTGGAGGCGCATAGGTGGATGGTTTCTAGGATCAAGTACTATCTCAAGGTCTCTGTCGTGAAGGTGGTGAAGCTCGGAACAGAGAAAGAAAAAGGAATAGATAAAGAGAGATAGGGAGGAGTTGTTGGGGAGGGGGTTGGGTACAGAGAAAGAAAGAGGGAGAGAAGGGGAGGGGAGAGAAGTAATAATTTTCTAAACTTTTTTTTTTTCCTATTTGTTATATTTATTAAAATAAAATATTTTATTATTTTTTACACATGGCATTGGGTTCTATTTGTGCCACATCAGCGTTTTAACAGAACTTTTTAACAGAGTTAAGAATGGGGGGTAAAGTGGAACACGAAACCACGGTCAAGAGGGTTAAGTGGGTCATTTTAACTTTGGAGGGGTAAAGTGAGATTTGACTGAAGTTTCAGGGGGTATTACAATAAATAAGCGAATCATTAATTCTGCTGACGTGGCATGGGTAGTTTTTAAATGCAAAAATTTTCCTTAGAGAAATTATTTTAAATGTTTAAAAATAAATTAACTTTAAAAATTAAAAATTAAAAACCTAGCAACCAACTTCCCCCCTCCCCATTCCATTGCTTCAGAAAAGAAGAAGAAAATGAAAAATTGAAAAGGGAAGACAACCCAACTACTGCAAAGGGAAGCAAAAGACAAGATATTTTTTTAGATTCGTCCTTGCTCATCTCTCTCTCCCACCACTCCGTAACCACAACCGCCACTCCACATTCCAGCCTACCAATGAAGCTGCTCCACCAACCCACTGCCCCACAAACCCAATTGAAAAAGCCAAAATATTTTTCAAATCCATTTTCTTCATATCAACATTCATTTTTATATTTTTATATTGGTTTAATTCAATTGGGCAACCTTAGTCACGGAATGGAAGTTCAAAGGGGAGATTGCGTCTTTTAAAATTTCAAGAGGGGCCAAATTGAGATGATTTGAAAACCACATGAGGTATTTCAACAAATAAGCCAAAGTATTATTATGCAGTTTTTTTTTCCCCAAAAGTTGAACCTTAATTCTAACCCAAATAAAAGTTGGTTCGGTAACTTCAAGACAAGTTTTACCAATTTCAAAATATGTTCGTGGTTCTAATGATCAAAGTTGGGTATTTATGTCAAGGTCTAACAGTCTCACATGCTCTTACGTTAGTCAATATAAATTGTACACATGTTGGGCATAAAAATACTCTATTTAGTGTGTTTGTTGAGACTAAGGTCTAAAATATCGATGGTTTCATAAATATATGTAGTTCAAAAACACAGAAATTTCGATGGAAATGTCGGGAAATTATCGATATCAATAAAAATTAAATAAAAACCACGAAAATTGTAAGAAAAACTTGGAAATTTTTCTTGAAACTTTGGATAATGTTTATTTAGTCAATTATCTATTACTTTATCACAAAAAATTTGGAAGGAAATGCATTGCGTGATGGGTTTAACTTATTTAAGTTGATTATATAGTGAGCTGACAAACACTGTGAGTGTAGAAAATATGTTGTAATTAATGAAAAAAGATTAAACACACCATAATCATTTATTTATAATGATTTACTACAATATTTTACACTGTATACATTGTATGGTAAGATACATGAGTGACTTAGTACCATATAGAGTTCCTATAAGGTTCAAATTTGAGTTATTTACACTAACAACCCCTGAGGTTTTCGTCTTTTTCACAAAACTACTTGAGGTTTAAGAAATTACAAGAACACCCCTTGAGGTTTTTAATTGTTGGGTTAATTACAGTTTAGTACCCTATGGTTACACCCTTAAGGCATGTTAGTCCCTATCTTTTCAATTTTAACAATCACATACCCCGGTCTTTGAAATTTGTTACAATGTGGTTCTGCCGTTAGGGTTTCTGTCAAATCTCTCTGTTAGTTGCTTGCGTGGCACGATGGGTCCCATATTTTTCAAATTTTTTAATTTTAAATTTATTAAAATATGAATAAAATATTTAAAACCAAAAAATTAAAACTCTCTCTCTCTCTCTCTCTCTCTCTCTTGAAAAAACTGGAGGTTGCTAGGTTCTTTGGTTTGTGTGTATTTGGGTCAGTGTTTATTTTGTTAGATGAAGGCCATGCCCTTACCCTTTGAGCAGTTTCAAGGGAAGGGGGTTTTAGATTTCTCTTCTTCAATTTCAGATTCACAGCCACCGCAAAATCAACATCTCCACCACCACCACAATCAGTAGCAGCATTAGCAAAAGTGGAATCAAAACAGCAACAAGGAGAATTGCTATGTGGGCAACATTGAGCCCACTCTGTTCTTGACACCAGAAGAAGCCTAAGCCCTCCCGCATCCTCTTCAACACTGTCTTATTCTCTCGGTGGCGGCGGAGCCAGCGGCAGTGGTGGTGGCGGTTCCCGAAATCTCCAAATTCCCCAATTTATCGGTCCCGTCACCGGCAGAGTTTTGACGAAGCGCCGCTCGCTTCTGAAAGAGAGTGGGATGAGCACCCACAGGAGGGAATACGTAAAGGGGTCGCAGTGGCTTAGCCTTGTTGAGTAGCTGAGCACCCCAGAGTCATCGAAGCCTTGGAAGCCCGTAAGGCTAAAGTCGTCATCGAGCTCAATGTCATTGTTGGGCACTGGCAGCAACCGAGTCGTTGGGACCTCGGCGCTCGAACTCAATTTGGGAGTACCCATCTGAGACTGAGAATTGATGGCTGTGAAACCCATCAAAGCAGAGGACTTGGAAGGTTGGTTTCCCTGGAAGGAGCTGAGAAAGCCACTGTTGCAGCCCAAATCGAAGCCATTGTCAAAAGGGTTGGTGGAGACAACGTTGAGAAGAGAAGAGAATCAGGATTTGGAGGGGAACATCCAAACGGCGCTGTTGGACATCGGTAAAAAATTGAGAAAAGGGTAGAGAGAGCTGGGTTCATTGCAGAGAGAGAACACACAGAGAGAGAATTTTTTAATTTTTTAGATTTTTTTAATTTTTTTGGTTTTTAATATTTTATTCGTATTTTAATCAATTTAAAATTAAAAAATTTGAAAAATGTGGGACCCACCGTGCCACGTAGGCAACTAACAGAGAGAATTGACAAAAACCCTAACGGCAGAACCACATTATAACAAATTTCAAAGACCGGGGTATGTGATTGTTAAAATTGAAAAGATATGGACTAACATGCCTTAAGGGTGTAACCATAGGGTACTAAACTATAATTAACCCATAATTGTTTTCACAAAACTTCTTTTCATTGATTTTTCATCCAAAGATTGATGATTTTATACCAACAAAAAAAAATCTCCAAATGACAAAGTTGGCCTTTGAGTTTAGATTGTTGTTGAGGCCCAAATAAATTCTCGGCCTAGTTCAATACCTTATTAAGAAGAGACCCGATTTGGGCACGCAAAAGTCCATCATGCACGCTTGTACGAGTCATGATCCACGTGTCACGCCAAATAAATATGTGATTTGTCACGTTAATAATTGAAACGAGCCTATAAAATGCACTAACTCTATGAACCCATGCTAATTATCCCATAAAGCGTCATAACCTTCGAGCACGAGCACCCCAATCGACATGTCATGCCAAGCGAAAAATCATTATTTTACACCTAGCCACGCTACAAGCTTAAGTGGGCTCAAGCCATGCAAATGCTCGAGGCTTGTTGAGTGGGTTGTGGTATGGATGGTAATGAGCATTCATGAGGCCCATTGATGAGCCGAGAAATGGAAATTTTGAGTTGTTTGGGATCCTTAAAACTCGAGCTCATTTCTTCTGCCCAAATATATGGGTAAGCATAAAGGAGAGAAAAAAGGAGCCCATCACCTTAGAAAATTGACCCATCACCTTAATAAAAATAGTCCATCATTTTAGCAAGTTGGCCCATTCCCTAGTAGACAAACCCATTACCTTAGGAAGGCCCAAATGACCAACAAAATATTTGGAAGTCTCCAACACATGGCTGGAGACAAAACCATGACAAAAGCCAAAGGGTGACTCACGTATACAAGCTGCTAGCAGGCTCCATCACATGACCAAGGGCAAACCTCAAGGCAGACCATCCAAAAGACCAAAGGGTATTAGCGCGCACAGGTTGCTAGGAGAAAAAGCATCCTTCAGACCAACGCTGCTATCTATTTCCTTCACTTACCAGCTCTTGCCATTAAATAGGGGAGGAAAGAAGGAGAAGTGATAACCATAGATAGGATATTGCCACTGGAACAGCTGCGGGAAGGCTCTAGATCCTCCAAAAATCTTGTCTTTGAGCGCTTGGACTAAGGAAGATTTCACAAAATGGGGATGAATCAAAGGAAGAGAAGAGAAAGGGAGGGAAAGAATGGGCAAAATTGGAGAGAACCCATTAGAGTTTCTTGGGAAGGAGGAGCTTCCAGCGGCTATAAAAAGGGGGTTTCTCCTACCCATTATCTCACCCCACATCTAGAGAGAGCAAGCATCACCTCTCATCCCTAGAACCCTTCAATTTCGAGCCCTATTCCTCCATCTCTTCCAATTTTCTCTTCTGGCAAGCTTTTCCAGAGCCTGACAGAGCTTTCATCAAGATGTTGGAAAATTGCTCAAACCACTCACTTCTCTTGCCTCATCTCTTCCTCTCTCCCCACAACAAATTCTCTTGAAATCCCTTCTCCCCTTACTTTAAAACCCTGTTTCTCATAGGAAATCACAGCCCTTTCTCTCTTTAATGCTAAACTCATGAATGCTTAGTTTCCATGGCACAAGCTTCTCAAGCCAAACTATATATTTATCTATAAGCAACTATTGGTTTCGTTGGTGAAGGAGACCAAGGTGTTTCCTAAGGCTCCACAACCCTTTCGAAGCACCCTTAGGGTCTGATTCTTAAACTCAAACACAAGGGGCAATTTTACCCATTTGTTTTTTGCAGCAGTCCAGGGCCATCTGTAGCTGCCGGAATGAAAAAATCCATACAGTTGCATATACTTCATTGAGGTTAATTTTGTCATTTGCATAAGTTTTTTTTCAATGTAATCATCAATTTTTGGACAAACAAATCAACGAAAATGGGTTTTATGAAAACAAACTAAAACCTCAAGGGATGTTCGTGTAATTTTTGAGACCTGAGGGGTTTTTGTGAAACAAAAAAAACCTCAAGGGGGTGTGTTAGTGTAAGTAACTCTTCAAATTTTTCACCGTCTTCATCATCTCAATTTTGTCGATATTATAGCGATATTTTGGCCAAATGTTGTTGAAGTGTGAGAGAAATTATCGACATCAATATTTTCCGATATTATTGATACTTATACTATATGCAGAGATGTTCCAAAATATCATAGACTCGAAAAAACGATAATATCCTCGATATTTCGTCAATATTATCGATATTTTAGTCCTTAGTTGAGACTATGTAGCATGCATTTGCAATAGTGCTTAAAAGGGTCTCTCTACTCATTGCCAATTGATTTTGGATTGAAAATTTACATTCTAATATATTTATAAAACTTGTGGTTTCTACAAAAGCATTGCAAATGAGTCCTAAATTAAATTGTCAATGGTGTTTCTCTTAGTGATGAAGCCTAATCAATGTTGTCATGTTATGTGGTGGGAGATAACAATAAAGGAATGATATGATGATCACAAATCAAAGAAAGTAAACGAAAGCCAACAGAGTTTAGTCCAGTAGAAAAAGGGTCTTGACTTACATACTAGTGGTCTGAGGTTCGAACCATTATGACACCATGGTATTGTGTGTATCACTTTTTAAAAAAGCTGCTTCTGATGTACTTTGAAAATAATGAGCTATAAAGTAAAGCAATTTCATGTTTGATCAACACTGTTTTTAAAGTGTTGTTAGTATAAAAAGTAATGTCAAAATCGTTTGGTAAATTTTAATCTAAAACTGTTGTAATTGTAGATAATGATTCAAATTGACATGATATCGGTAAATTTTCATATAAAACTATTGTAAATGTTGATAATGACTAAAATGAATATTATATTAAAAGTTTATGTTCTAACTATGTTTGGTGGTGGTGGTGGTAGAGGTTGAGGTGAAAATTTCTTTAAAGGCTTTCTTGCACTGAAAAAAAAAGTAAACGAAAGGTCAAAAGAGAAGAAAAACGGCGCGCAAGTAGGTCGTTTTAGCATTTAAGAAGGAGGATAAAGAGACGACGTCACTAAATTGCATAATTTGGTAATCTACGACAAACAGCAGGCTATTACGGCACAACAGAAACATCAAAACAAAAGAACTGTCTCCACCAATGAGGGACCGCGCAGATCACAAACCAAAGGTCTGTATGGTCTTTTTAAATTTTTATGGCCACTCCAAAGGCGACACGCGTATCACGAAGCAAACAAATTTACTTCTTTCGGAACACGAACTCTATAGTTGCACATAAACTCCCCAGTTCTTCTTTCTGTGTCACTTGCTCCCTCTCTCTCTCCTAGGGCACAAAAATACCGAAATCCATTCAAAGATTTCATTTTCTTTCTCAGACCTCGTGCGTTGTAGCCATGGCGGACGCTCCTTCCTCTCCAGCAACAAACCTAGAATCCAATCCCCAATCCGATACCCCCAAACCCCAATCTAACCAACCGGATCCCGTTCCCGCTTCCACACCACCGCCATTATCGTCATCAATCCCCATCCCCGTAAACCCTAATTCTAATCCGCCTCTGGTGTCTCTGCCACTGCCGCCACCGCCTCCTTCGATCTCCTACGCGCCACAACAGGTCTCCGGTGCCGGACCTCCGTCGGCGCCGTCGTTTCGGCCGGTTCCTCAGTTCTCTCCAATACCGAGCCCCGGCGTGCCCAATCCGAATTATCAAAACCCTGGTGTCCAGCCGCCCGGCGTGAGCTCTGGGTCTCCGATGGCTCCCGGTGTGCCCCCGCCGTCGTCGGTGCCGCCGCATATGATGCATTACCAGATGCAGCCCATGAGAGCGTACGCGCCGATGCCTAATGGATACGCGGCCATGCCCACTGGTGCTCCTCAAGGCGCCATGCCTCTCCCTGGTGGGTTTTTGCTTCTCTGTACATCTCCTACGTTAATTTACGTAGTGTAATTGTTGCATACGATTGTCTTTTAAACTGGTTTATTGCTTATCTGTATCTATTATGGTGGTTCTCATATTGCAATTGCTTTGGTGTTATTTTTCTTTGAGTTGTTTAGTTTATTTTGCTCCATTGCTTGAATGCATGAAGCTTTCTGTTTCTCAGTCTAGAAAAAAGTGAAAAAGTAAATTACTTTTAAATAGCATATCGAGCTGTTGCATCTAATTTATGGATAGCAAGTAAATGAAGATTAATGGTATAATGTAGTGGGAAGAGTTTGTTAGAGCAGAGTTCGGAGTTTGTAAAAAAAAATAAAAATTCAGTGTGTTAGATTAAGGGTATCGATGACAAGATGTTTTCTCCTACAGTGTCTTGATTGAATTCGGTGAGAAAGGTTGGAAGGCTTGCTTCATATTGCTTTGAGAACTCCCCATCTACAACTCCTTTTTTGGTATGCACATATTCTAAAGTTTTATGTAAGCTCAAGTTGGTCATGGAGTTCAAAATTTAAATAATATTCCCACAAATTGGAAACTTTTACTTTTCAATTTGTCATGCTAAAGTTTTATTATTATGTCGTGTTCATTTTAGTAGGATCCTTTCTGGTAGTTTTAAGGATACTTTCCCTTTTCATGGGTTTATGAATTGCCAGAAGCAGACCATGTTTGCAACTGAGTGCTCATTGCCCTTGTGTTCTAAGGTATCACAATCCTTCCAACTGCAGTCTCACTATCCATAGATATATATATATACACACATATATATATATATATATTTATTTATTTATGTCCATCATCCATTCATCTATCTATCTGTCTATCAAGCAATCTACTTATCTGTAAATCTAAACATCTAATCATGTGTTTGTGTGTGTTATATGTTGTGCATGCTTGTTATGTATTTTTTTTAATCTTCTGTTGTTCTCATGCTGCATCACCTGCTGCTATCTCTCCATGATCAATTGAACTATCAATATATCTAAATTATACAACTCTCATAAACCTCTATATGCATGAGATGTTGATGGTTTTATTTTACTCGAGAAGGCTACTATGGTCCAAGTGGCTGCATAAGGTAAGCACAGTTTACTCATTCATGGTTTATGAACACGATGCTATTTCTTAATTTTTCCTTCAGGTTATCTGTTCAGCTGGTGGTAGTTGCCATGCCTGTGCTGCCATCTCTAATATGCTTTTAATGTGTGGTAACAAAAATCAATCATTTCTTGTCATATTGTTTTTTGATACATCTGTTTAATTGGGGTGCACCTAGTTTTCATGGTATGCAGTTAATAAACGTGATCTGATGTATTTGCAAGATATTTGTTTCTTTCTTTGTAGGACTTGCTCGTTATCCTTCTCCATATCATGCAATGCTTCGGCCTGCATTTACTCCGCGTCCACCAGGAGCAATTGGTTCGCTTCCAGGTTTACCACGTGGCCCTGTTCCTGGGATTCCTGGAGTTCGCCCAATTATGCCCCCTGTTATTAGGCCAACTCTTCCTAGTGTTACTCCAGCTGAGAAACCACAAACCACTGTTTATGTTGGGAAGATACCACCAACCGTGGAGAATGATTTTATGTTATATCTCCTCCAGGTGTGCTTTCAAATATTGTGATCTCTGCCTTCATTATCAACTTTGCCACTATGTTCTTTTATGTTACCGAAATTTTATGAGTAATTTCATTGCAGTTTTTGGTGTATGATATTTTGCTTTGTGATGGTTTTACATTTTGTTAAGTTATGTGGACCTGTCAAGAGTTGGAAATGTACTCAAGTTCCTACAGATGCGACTCCTAGAGGGTTTGGGTTTTGCGAATTTGAATCTGCTGAAGGAGTTCTTCGTGCATTACGTCTTCTGAGTAAATTTAACATTGACGGGCAGGACCTTGTGGTATGTCCTGATTCCTTGTTTATATATTTTGTTTTTCATTATGTCTTTTTGTCATTGTCATTATGTTGCAACAGGAATTTACACTCCCTTTCCTTAGTAATCATGTTCTTCATACTGCACGCTCAGTTTTGCTAATGTTTGTTTTTTCTATATCTGATGTTGTAAACTTAACAGTTAAATGTTAACCAAGCAACGAGAGAATATCTGGAGCGGTTTGTTGAGAAGAAAACTGAAAACTCAAAGAAGCTCAAAGAAGCTGAAGCAGCTGAGAAAGAGGATGAAAGTGCACTAGGTGTTGAAAAGAATGTACCTTCAAATCCTGCTGTATTGGACTCAAAGGAGGAGGATAGTAATTCGAGTAACAAAGAAAATGACGCTGCCAATTTTGGAATTGTGACTGACGAAGACAGAGAAGCTGACCGCGAAGCTATGGAGAAGCTTACAAGCTTGATAGAGGAGAGGTTAAAAACCAAACCTCTCCCTCCACCACCCACACCAGCTCCTGGCAATGGCACTGGGAATTCAAATTCAGAGCTGCCAGCTAAATCAAGGGATGGAGACTCTGATGTTGATATAACGCGAAATGGTAAAGTCTCATACTTGAAACTAGTATTATACTGGACAGTGTTTTGTGATTATTGAAGTTTGTACTTAATAAGCAATGAAGTTATTTAGAGTCAATTATTTAGTGGCAGTTTTGTTGTCATAGTTATAGTCGTCATTATCATTTTCAGATGCTTCAGAAGAAAAAAATGACGAAGAGACAACTAGTGACAACAAAGCAACAAGTGAGCAGGATAGGCCTGAAACAAGCTCACCTGACCGGAATAGAAAGCAAGATAGGAGGAGTAGAGACAAAGAGCGAGATCTGAAACGTGAAAAGGAGCGTGAGATTGAAAGATATGAAAGAGAAACAGAACGAGAACGGGTACGGAAGGAGAGGGAGCAAAGGAGAAAAATTGAGGATGCTGAGCATCAGTATGACAAATGTCTCAAAGAATGGGAGTATAGGGAAAGGGAGAAAGAGAAACAAAGGCAGTATGAGAAGGAGAGGGAGAAAGAAAGGGAACGCAAGAGGAAGAAAGAGGTAATCTATGAAGAAGATGATGAGGATGAAGATGCCAGAAAAAAGTGGAGGAGGAGTGCGCTGGAGGAGAAGAGAAAGAGGAGACTACGGGAGAAAGAAGATGACTTGGCTGACAGGCAGAAAGAAGAGGAAGAAATTGCCGAGGCCGAGAGGAGGGCCGATGAGGAAAAGCAGCTACAGCAAGAAAGAGATGCATTGAGGGATTCCTCTGTCCATGTAGCTAATGGAAGCGAACAAGCAGCTTTGGCGGAAGAATCCTTTGTGGAACTGAGAGATAAGGCCACTGAACAGAATGATGAGGGTGATTCTGGTCATGAGAATCATATGGGTAAACTAAAATTACTTGTGAAGTTATTTATTGCTTTTATAAACCTTTTATCTTCCCATTCGTTTTCATTTTTTCTTATATGGTTTGACTTGATGTCATAGGTGATGGGACTTTACAGAATGGTAACAGTGGTGATGAGTCAACAATGACATCAGTTCATGCATCAGAACCACAGCAGAGTGGCAGTGCCCCAGCAAAAAGGTTGGGTTTTGGTCTAGTTGGGTCTGGAAAACGTACTGCTGTTCCTTCTGTTTTCAATGAGGAGGATGATGATGCACACAAGGACAAAAAAATGAGGCCCCTGGTTCCCATTGATTATTCAACTGAAGAACTGCAGGCTGTCCAACAAACTGCTTCTGGGCCTCCATCAAATTTGGCTGCAGCTGCAGAATTCGCAAAGCGAATTTCAAATGTTAGTTCTAGGGAAGAGAAACCAGATACAGATAAGGAAAGAAATAGACGTGCTAATGATAGGTCGAGCCAACGGGATAGGGATAGGAATGATGATGACACTAATCGCACTAGAGATGAGAACAAGGAGAAGACTGACCGTGATACCGATCGTGAACATGGGTTGGATAAACCAAGGACAACGGATAACAAAAAGCTTTTGGATGCAAAACAACTGATCGATATGATTCCGAAGACGAAAGAGGAATTATTCTCATATGAAATAAATTGGGCTATTTATGACAAGGTAAGCATGCGTTAGGCCAAAATTCTAAAATTTTTTGTTTAAACTTGGGCTATATGAGTGAAAATTATTCATTGTAATTGTTTAATAACTGCTCATAACTGTGTTTGATGTTTTCTACTTTCACAGCATGCACTACATGAGAGAATGAGACCATGGATTTCAAAGAAGATTACAGAGTTTCTAGGAGAGGAAGAGACCACACTGGTAGATTACATTGTATCTAGTACTCAGGAACATGTGGGAGCAGAACGCATGCTACAGCTGCTTCAATCCATTTTAGACGAGGAAGCCGAAATGTTTGTTCTCAAGATGTGGAGGATGCTCATCTTTGAAATTAAGAAGGTTGAGACAGGTCTTGCTTCAAGAACAAGAGCATGAATGTGAACATGACGGTTTTGTTTGTGGGTTGTATTTTTGTTGCTGTAGACCTGAGTCTTGTTAGTATTATACATCCATTGGCCTCTCCCTTGTTTCACTCCTTACATAGGATGGATTAGCATAGATGGCTGTCAAGGCTAAACCATATTCTTCTGTTTGTATTGCTTCAAAGTACAGTTTTAGTCCATAAGCAAATAAACCCGTTTTTGTCTTCATCCCTCTTGTGGGTTGTTTGTAGCTTTGGAATCTATTAGATGTCCTGTTGGTAATTCTTTGCCAAAATAATACTTGTATTCATGTTTGGCGCTTTCATTATGGGCATAATATTTTGTAGTGCATCACGAGAATTCTCTCTGACCATTACAGCTGTGTTCGCTGTTAAGAACGCCAAGCACATGCATCCAACCCATGTGTATTATTTTGTAAGGTGCAGGTTTGTATTATGTGAGGCACTTGGACCTAGGTCAGTAGATGGAGAAGTACTTTCCCATCCCTGTTTCATTGCCCCGCACTTTATCTCTCTCCATTGATGGGTTATTGGGTGATTATGAGGAGAGACAAAAGAGGTGTAATGAAACAAGGATAGGGAAGTTTTTCTCATAGACATTGGCGTTCGTTTTAGGAGCCGGATTTCATTTGGAAATGCAATGACTCTATAAACCCTGGTCTCTTGTTGGTTGTGGTGGATGAAACACTACAAAGGGATTGGGAGAACGGAACCAGAACTACAGCTAGCAAGGGGCCCAATTAGAACTTAAGTTTATAACTTGATGACAACCAGTAACACATCCAGACATTCATAATTCAACTGAACAAATTGACAGATGAACCAACCATTTACAATTCATAACCCATGTTTTGGAAAAAGGAAAAAATTACAATATTTCAAACAGTTAAGTTACACAACAGCTTTACAAAAGGAGGGTACTAGCAAACCCAACCCAACCCATCTCCCAACAGTGGGACTTGGCAACAGCAGTACGTTTGGGAGTTTCTGGTGTAATAAAATTTGCTCAAAACTCAGATGACCCAGAACCAAGATACAACTGAACCAACAGCCAAACCCACAACTAAGAACAACACAATCACAATCCCTGCAGTCTCCGCATGCTGTAATTGGACGATCTTGGGGGCCAAAATCATCAACACACTTGTCAAGTAGCCATTAGTAAGTCCCAAAAGGCACGTAAGTATTGTCACTGGAATCTCTGTTCGGAAGAATTTGGGGCCATGCAAGCACCCATAGAAGAGAGGAAAGAAGAGCAATCTTATAACTGTGCCGCCGATCGCAACCTTAGAATTTTCGAGGAGATATACAGAAGTCAGAGACTTGCCAATAAGATCAAACACATTGTAGCCTGTAATAAGGAGGATTGGGTACCAATCCTTGAGAATCTGAGAGTGCACATCTTCAGTAATATATCCTGGAAATATTGCCAAAGTCACAACATAGATAAGAACGATGCCAGATCCATACCACTTGACTCTGTCAACTACGTGCCACAAAGTTGATCTCAACACGGACACAGTCAAAGGACCATTCTCTTCTTTCTCCTCATTTATAGCCTGAATCTTCAACTCTGCATAGTACTTCATAACTGGAAGCCTTGGTGCCACATTGTAGAAAACAAGGCATATGACCATAACTACTATCCCGACAGCGAAGTACAGGTTTGCGCTTTTTCTCAGGCCATCAGCATTTTGTGGATATACAGCCTTAGTTATGATCCTCAGAGCAGAAACAAGGACTCCTGCAATCAATCCAAAATTTGGGAAAACACATTTTAGGCATCCCTCGAGAAACTTTGATGAACTTACATAATCAGTAAACCTAGAATAGCAAAATTTCTATGCTTTCTAGTCTGTTAGTCAGCAATGAATTTTTCATTTTTTTACTTTGACAGAGAACTACTTATTCCACAAACGCTGTAAATCTTAAAACATTCTAAAAAAAGGGCTTCCTTTCTTTGATACCAAAATCAACTCAAAGCAGCATTTATTACACAACCACCACAAAGTTACCAAAACAAATTCTGAGCGCTTATAATTCACAGAACGAAGCCATACCCAGAAACCAAAACCAAATAAAGAGCCAAACCCATAAACTGAAATTATCCCCAACAAACCAAAGGGCAGAAGTTACCTGAACCAGCAGTTCCAGCCACAACGGCTTGCATGTAAGTCTCGGGCAACTCACTAGCCGCCCCAATGAGCGAGCCTTGAACCAAAGCATCAGCCAAACCCGAAAGCGCAACAGTTGCAACCGTCACGTAAAACCCGTCGTACAACCCGACCCGACCTTTGATGTAAAAGACATCCATGAGGGGCACGATGAGCAGGCAAACAACGAAGAGGCCCAAACCCACATTGATCCGGACATAAGCGTCGGACTTGTGGGCGTAGAAGATTATGATGAGGAGGCAGACGAGGCCCACCACGAAGTACGCGACGGCGAATATACGGTCCACGCTTTCATCTGGGTAGAGGTAGGCGAAGTAATCGACGGCTGTGATGAAAGCGTTCCATGGGAGGAGGTAGCCAGCACCAAGTGTGAAGTAGATGATGTAGGCCAAGTGGAACGAGTCCTTTGGGATTTTATTGGGTATGGTGGTGGATACGGTGGGGAGGAGGACGCTTGACTCGGAATCTTCGTCGGCGGTTGTGGCATTGAAACCCATCGGAAATCGGTGGATTTTTCTCAATGGGTTTCTGGGTTTGGGTCCGGCGGATGAGGAGCAGCTGAAAAATCCCCAAAGCTTCAAGCTTTTCTTTTTGGTGAAGATAATAATTTGGGGTTATTGAACGAAATGGTCCCCAATTTTTGCTCCAGTCTCATTTTTGGTCAATCAACTAAAATTTTCATTTCAATAGTCCTCAAATTTTCCATAGTATCAAATTGGTCATACCGTCAAAGTCTGTCAATTTTGCCGTTAAATTCAGGGGTAAAATCGTATTTTTATATCCCATCCAACTCCAACGCAAACCTTGGTGGTGCTCTCTGGCTCTGCTGCTTCTTCAGGAGTCCTTCCTCTTGCTGACGACGAATGCGATGAACCGAAAATCAGAATGAACAAAGTTGTGCGAGCTAATCTTACGGTTTGCCTTGGAGATGTTGTGTCTATTCATCATTGCCCTGATGTCAAGTACGGAAACCAGGTTCACATCCTTCCAATTGATGATACAATTGAAGGCGTAACGGGAAACTTGTTTGATCCAAATTGAAAGCTTGAGTTTTCTCTTTCAAATCTAAAAGAAAGCTAGCTCTGTGTGTGAGTGAGAGAGAGAACCTGCAAAGGTATATTTAGCAGAGGTTTTGAAAGGCATTGACGTTGTGTGAGGAAAGAAAGAGCAGCCAAGTGTTGAGCTAGGGCGTCATGGAAAGAAAATGGGGTTAAGTTTGGAGGTTGGGGAGGCTACTTTGTTAAGGAAAATATGATAGGGAAGCCATAGTTCACCATCATCCAGATCTGGAGGAAACCGAGCCATTTTAAGCATAAGCCCACAAAACTTCAAACACCCAAAAAAAAAAAACAAGAAGACGAACAAAAAACACGTTCTCTTTGCAAATATGCAGAGCCCTGAACAAATAGAGAAAACAGCAAACCCAGAAGACAAAGAAATATTTTTCTTTTTCTGGGTCAATAAAACAGAGAAAGATAGAGAAGGAAAAGCCAATTTCGGATTTGAAGCCTCAACAAGCTCAGTTTGTGAAGAAGCAGGTGGGGAGCCGGTGGTTGGGGGTGAGGATGGGGAGATACCTGGGCGCGGGAGAAAGGGAGAGAGATAAAGCATAGAGAGGGAGTCAGTGATATTCTTTTTAGTTATTTCTATTCTTTATTTTTAGATGATTTTACTCCTAAAAAGACAGTTTTACTCCTTCATTTCATGGAATAATTGATAGACTTTGACGGTAAATACTAAATGAAAAGTTAGAGAAGTATTGAAATGAAAATTTTACTTTGTGGACCAAAATAAAACACAAGCAATAGTTAAAGGACCATTTTGGCCAAAAACCCATAATTTGGTGATGGAGGTTTGGTAGGAACTGTTGGTGGAGTTGAAGATGGAACAATACGGCGTCGTTTGGGGTCAACTATTGAGACGTGCTCAACAACCCCATATAAGGTAAAGTCACGTGCTTTCATTCGACGGGGTTTGAAGATATTTGCATTTTTTAACAAGGCAGCGAAGGTTGGCTCCAAGGGACAGTTGTTGGCGTAGAGCTGAAGAATTTGGACCATCTCCTAGTTTTCTGGGAAAAGAATTGCTTGACTAAAACCCAGCTGTTAAGTGGGTCCCTGTTAATTGCAGGGTAAAAGTTGAGCCCACCATGACAAGGCCAAGGCAAGGCCAAGACCCAAGCTCTTGTTTTTGGATGAATTCTATTAGCATTATGAAATTACCTGATATAGTTTATCAATCCTGAAACGTGTTGAACATAAAATAAAGGAACACAAAGAGAATTATTTTACGTGGTAAAACACTATATCTAGGGAAAATCCACGGGACTTTTCAGTCCAAAACAAATCCATTATAGAACGATGATTACAATAAGTACTCACTTACACACTTATCCTAGACACATTCTAGATAATGTTTACTGACTTCTTCGTACCTCAATTTCTGTCACGGGATGATTTTTCGATACTCCTTATGTTGAACGCAATACTAGTCACGATTTCTTTAAGCTCGTTGGAGAAAAACCACCACCACGGTCTTGGTGCCCCCAACCGTATGAGTCACTGAACATGCAAATGAATGTAATATGAATGATGAAAGTATTTGATAAATCACCAAGTAAACATGGAACACTTAATGAATTATCTCAAAGTACAGCTTTCTTAGGAATTTTAGATGCTCACATACAAATCTTGAAAGTATTTTAGGATCCTAATAAAAAAAACGTCATTTTTGCAGAATCTGATAAAAGATGTCTTTCACTACAATTAACTATTGTAGAAGGAAATAATATCTACCAAGATAAATCAATGAGACCAATTAGGTAGGAGAGGACTTTAATAGAGCAACGTGCCCTCCAAGTCATAAGGGTTTAGGGATCATCTAGTGGCTTTTCTTGCTGATTTAGAGCCCAAGATGTGATGACCCAAAAAAAAGTCCAAGAATGGACAACTTGGTTGGGAGGGGAAATCTCATTTGGCACTCTCTGCATTAATTTGTTTTATTAGCTATGCTCAAAACTGCATCAATCATTGGTGTGGCATCAAGTTATCACATTTTTTGTAATCTTCATAAAGTCAACAACAGCTGATAACAGTTTTATAAGATATAAAAATATTTTGAAATTGCGACTTTTACAAAGTTATTGTTTAGTATTAATGATATTCTTGGGGTGAAAAAGATATGATTGTCAACCACAGGGAAGTGATCATGCACCAGCTCAAATGCCCTGATCCAAAATTGACCATCTGAACTAAAAGTTAAGAATTTTTCATCTTGGTAGCAACATCTGTCTTTGAGGGCAGCAAGCAATATCATGATCAAAGAGCGAAGTGCTTACTTGTCAGGTTAAATTTCTTGTATATATACCCGCCGGCCTCTGCCTATCCTCCCTTTTAAATGGAATTTGACCTTCAATCAACATAACCCAGCAGGAGCAATGTACCATGCATTTTGTCCTATTTCTTTGTCCTACCCCTCAGATATATATATATATATAATGAAATGCTTTAGTTTGATTAATTCCTAAATATTAGTTTATTTGGTCCATGCCTTGACACTGGAAAAATAAATAGCCTGCATATATCCAACCTACACCACCTCACAGCCATTTGCCTTGTATACATTATTCCAACTTCAAAAAACTCCAAATTCTGTCCCTCTCTCTCTCTCTCTCTCTCTCTCTCTCTCTCTCTCTCAAGTATATAAAAGTTTGCAAATAAAATTATATGTCATTGCCGTCTCATCTGCACAAACTCATTCTCCTTAATTTATATGAAAATGACAAAATACTTTCCTTGCCAACGATCACAATACACAATCTTCTATTCCCTTTTAGATTCTATAATCATTCCAGATACCAAGTCTTCACACAAACACACACTAAAAGAAGTAAGAAAGAAGACATAGTCTTCCTGGCCCGTTGAAGGCATATGCATATCTCCAATTCTGTCACCAATCATCTGTGTTCATTCATTTCAAGGATGTCATAATTGGGATATCTACCTTTTGCTTCCCACCATGGCCAAACTTATCTCGAGTTTCCTCCATCGTCATAATCCGATGATACTTGTCTTTATTTTCCTCAGTGCCTTAAATTTTGTTTTCTCACAGACCCCAGATGTTGAGTGTGTCATTGATATTCAAGCCTCTTCATCTTGGCGTAACTCAAGTTGTGAGGCAGGAAATTGGGGTGGATTTATCGGTAATTGTTGTGAAGTAGTTTTTGATGACTACCTGTATGCCTTGGGACAGAGGGCCAACCATACCGGGAAGCTCTTCTTGAATTCCACAGAGCAGAGAAACTGCTTAGTCCTAATGAAGGGTATTAAGGAGGATGTTTTCAGTTGTGGCATCGAGAAGCTAACAAGTGGAACTGGCGGCTGCTCTGACTATACTAAACTAGATGTTTTTAATAATTTACGGAACACAATGGAAAGTTTAGAAGAAGACTGTAAGCTTTTGGGCACAGCCGAAAAATCTGATCAGGTTTGCAGTGCATGCTTGAAAAGGTGGGAAGAGATTGTTGCATCATCAGACAATGAGAGGGGTTCATCGAAGGTTGAAGCCAATATCTGTGGTTTTGCTGTTTTGGTATCCTTAACAAGCAAGAGGATTGATGATAACGATTTTGTTCAGGCACTTTATGAATGCCTTGGGGATCAGAGACTTTCAGCAGGTAGGCAGTCCTCTCCTTTTTTCTTTTACCATTAGAAGGTAGGCAGCCAGACAATCAGCAAAGATATTTGATTCTATTTCATGTCTTCATCTTTATACAATAATAAGTTGTAGCATTTTTGTTACTTAAACTCCAGCTAAGAAATTGCCTTTGCTTCCATTGCAGATGAACAGCGAAGCTCGGGGACTAATGCTATAAACTTGAGCACAGGTAATTTAAATACATTATGGTCATCACAGCACCTTTTGAGTCCTAAATTCTAGGAAGTTTCTTTGCTGGCAGTTTTTTGTAAGGTCGGTCATGATGAAGTGGGGTTTCCTGGTAATTTTGATTAATTTCATGAGAATGTCAGGTATATGGATTGTATCTGGTGGTCTAGCAGGAATTGCAGCAATGATACTCATTGCCACATGGACCTTATGTAGAAAAGGGCCTCAAAAGAGTGTTTCAGCTGAGAAATATGGTATTTCTCCAAAAAGTTTCACATCTCACTTGAAACTTAACGGTAGTAAAATGTTGCTAACCTGTGTTTTACTGGACAGCATCAAACGATTCACACTCTGAAGAACCTGGCAGCCTTAAAATATCAATCAAGGAAATTTATGCAGCGACCAACAATCTAAGTGCAGTCAACTTCATTGGCCAAGGCGGAGCTGGTAAGAATGTCTATGATTCATTTTTTCTACTTTTGCTGTTGGTCGTAATGACTGACTAATTAAAGATGTCCAAAAAGAGCAAAGCAAGCTTTGTAATGGAGAGTAAACCCTCTCCCAGAACAGGAAGAAATTTTAAGCAGAAACAAAGGCATATAATATAATTACAGAAGAGAAGCTACCAAGAACTGGCTTCTAAATTCTAATGCTATTCTGATAATATTCCAGGAAAGGTATATAAAGGCATACTCTCGAATGGGAAGCATGTTGCTGTCAAGCACATAATCAATGATGGCTCTGTAGAGACATTCATCAGGGAAGTAACAAGCCTTTCCGATGTTAGACATCCGAACCTTGTAGCTTTGCTTGGCTATTGTGAAGATGTAGAAGAATGTTTCCTGGTCTATGAACTGTGTCAAAATGGGAACCTTTCAGAGTGGCTATTTGGTAAGTTCATTCATATTTCCTTTCGTGAAAATTTTCTCTAGATTTTTCATCGATTGGAAAGCCAATTCAAAGCTGATTACAGGTAAGGATAAAAGTCTGCCATGGATAACGAGACTTGAGCTTGCAATTGACAGTGCAAGAGGTCTTTGGTTTCTGCACACTTATCCGGATGGCTGCATTGTTCACCGCGATATCAAGGTAGGCCTATATTATCTGCACTATCTTCTGTTTTTGCCCCCTCTGTTGCCGTTTGTTTGCCGCTCATTTCTTCAAACAATTTTTCTTGTCCCAATTGGCAGCCAACAAACATTCTCATCGACAACAACTTTCAAGCCAAACTGTCAGACTTCGGGTTATCTAAAGTTATGGACTTGGGCCAGTCCCATGTGAGCTCAGAAGTGCGAGGGACATTTGGTTATGTTGATCCTGAGTACAGACGGAACCACCACGTAAATTCTTCAGGAGATGTCTACAGTTTTGGAATAGTTCTTCTACAACTTATCTCGGGGCGCAGGGTTATCAATCTGAACTCACAAAAACCAATGCCTCTTAGTAAAATGGTGAGAAACTTCATATTTTCCACATTTGTAAAGAACTATTTCAAGTCACTGATTTGGCTCATTATGTTCCATGTCTTTGCTCTACAGGCCAGGGCCCTCACAAAAGGCAGTGATGTAACAGAATTTGCAGATCCTAAGCTTAACGGGGAGTACTCGGTAGTAGCCTTCGACCTTGTGTTCAACCTAGCTTTGTCATGCACAGGACTAAAGCTGCAAAGGCCAGGCATGGAGCAAGTGGTCTCAAAACTGGAAAAGGCACTAGATATCTCAACCCAAATGGAGCCAATTTCTTTGACCGCACCAATCAAGACTTGAAATTGAAGAAAGCGTAGCAGAAAGTTTTTGTATATTGAAACAATCATGGATGAATTTCAGCTTAGAAAATGTATCATACCATTAATTATTACTGATTTCATGTGGAAAAGGAATTAGAATAGATTACAATACAACAATTTTTTTGTACAAAGCTTCATTGAAAAAAACAGAAGCTGATCATACAGTCATTAGCTCTTCAAAAAACCGAGCCAACAACAAAATAAAACCAGATAAAAGAACTAGAACAGCACCATGTCTACAGGAGACCCTGAATATACAAGAGGCCTGAAAAGAATTAAGCAATGTAAGTATCCCCGCAAAAATTTGGGTTACCTAACGTGAACAAATCTCTCTTGAGGAAGAACTCCCCGAGCCATTGTGCCAGAGGATCGTCGTTCATGGAATTCGTGTAGGAGCCTGATGAGAGCACTAGCCTTTCTGCTTGCTCGAGATGTGCCTTCACTGAGTTGGGAATATAAAGATCCCATAAGAGAAGGGCTCTTAACTAGAAGAACAACAACATCATTGCCACCATTTAGACAGAGAGCCAGCAACAAAGACACACAGAACTCCTTCCCTGCCCTTGGAATGGAGGAATTCAAAATCCTCACTATCGCATCCAAAGCTTTGCAATGCGAAATTGCAACTGATCCATCTGGTTTTTCCGCCAGAGTTGATAGAATTGCTAGAGCATCTGTGACAAGAACTTCACTATCAAAAGATGTTAAGATATTAACCAGCACAGGAACTAACCCTGCTGCTATCACCCTCCTATGATTTGCAGGGTGTGTAAGGAGCCCGAAAATCGCAACCAATGCGTTTTTCTTGGCCCTCTCTGTCCCATCCTTGATCATTTCCATCAAAGCCGGCATGACCTCTGGATTTTCTCCAATCAATATCCGGTACTCCTCAATCGAAGCGAGGTAAAACATTGTGCCAGCAGCATGCTGACAAGCCTCTGGTTTGAGACCTTTCTTTAACACATCCACAATCAAATCCAGACCCCCATTTTCAACAATCGCATCCTTGCTTTTGGAATGCTTGGAGAGATTCAACAAGGCTGCAATGGCATTCTCTTGGGTCACTGAATCTGCTGAAGATAACAGCTTTAACAAATGTGGGATCACACCAGCTTCAACCAAACAAGACCTATTAAAAATGCTTGTTTTCGAAAGAAGCCGGATCTCATAAGCAGCCTTGTTCTGCTCTTCTCGTGTCCCAACATCCAGCCTGCCACTGAGGAACTTTGCCACCATCTTCATGGCTCCCTCAGCTGCCAAACTGCCAGCAACTTCAAGCCTAGTCTTTCCAATGTCGCGATTTCGATGACCCGAATCAGCAAACGGAACACAATTCGCAGCACAATACTGCTGAATCAACCTCTTCAGCGCCAAATTGGGCACCACCTCCGTGTTCTTGAGCTTCTCACCCGTCTTGGGACAAATGGGACTGCCAGCTCTGAACCATTTCATAATCGAACTCCGATCGTAGCTATGCCCTGTCCCTATTGTCACAGGATCAACCATGATTTCCAACGAAATTGGGCACCGGAAATCTTCTACATTGAGACGATTCAACACCTCACTGCTACTGCATTTCGTCTCGGATCTTCGACCCCTTTCACCATCAACAACATTGAACAACACACATCGACAATAGCACATCAACCCCTTCAGGCTGCTCAAGAAACCCGCTTCTCTCTTTTCTTCAGTCAGATTCTCAACCCCAATTTCTGAGTCCAAGAACTTGACTTGCTTCTCACAATTGCTCCATTTTCTAATCCCAAGATACTCGAGAACCCATTTTAAATCGCTCTCGCCCGAAACAACCCCTTTCTCAAACCCGACCAAGACGGACCTAACCGCCTCCACGACCCGAATATCATTCGGGTCGACTTCGAACATCGCCTTTCGCGCTTGCCTCGTCACTAATTCTACATGCTCCTTCACCTCAACCGGTGCGTTGACCGAACCAAGAGGTAGAACATCGAGAGCCGTACCCATGGCCCGACTCAAGACCCGAAGTTGGTTTGCTACGCGATCCGAATTCATCAGCATCCATACCCGGGCGTCGTCCCGGGTCAAGTCTTCCAACAAGAACTGGACTTTCTGGAAGGCCAAATGGAGCTCTGACAAGCACAGAACCGCCGAAGCCGGAAAACCCGACTGCCGGTCTCGGATTCCTTCGAGAAAAACTCGGACGACTCCGATTTGTCGTACCATTTCGCGAGCGTTTCGGCTGTTGCTGGCGATGAATTTGGATTTGTAAGAGCAAATGATGTGGGTGAGAGTGATGAGTGAGTTCAGGAGCGTCTGGGGAGATATGGCTTCACATGGATGAACCGCGGGGTATGTGAGAATCCGGCGACCCGACCCGCTTCTTTGGATCATTTGAAACAAAAGAACGGATGGATAAAAAGGTTAGTGTTTGGATTTGGGTTTTGTTTGTTTGTTTGGTTTTGAGGGCTGGACGTTCGCACATTTATATAAGGGAGAAGAGTGGGGACACGTGTCGAAAGGCTATTTGATAGTCAATGGGTATTATGGGATCCGAGGCGCGTACAGAGTGAAACTTGAGAGTTCAGCGATCAACACGTGGCGGAGGGACACGTGGGCATGGGAAAGCCGGCTTCGTAGAGTATTTCGAGTTGGGGGAGGCTAATGGGAGAATGACACGTATAGCGTCGATTATGGGAAGGGCTCGTCGAGGTGAAGGGTACGTGGAGAGAGGTAGCCGACACTCGAGACTTGACAGGTTGTGTGAATATTATAACGTGGAATTATTATGAGGGATTTTTTATTTTTTATTATTTCCTTAGGACTAGTAGGAGGAAATTGCGAATTTTACATCCATTATGGAAGTAATAATCAATTTGAAATTATATCTTTATTTTTCAATTGATTTATGCAAAAGTCAAGCTTTGTAAATTGTAGTTTGTATAAAGGTCACGACTGTTGACAAAAAAATAAAAATAAAAAACAGGTCACGACTTTGTGAACATAGGATGGGAACAAGAGACTTCCCCTTTGGTTTGTGATCATTGCCATTGACGTGTAATTGACTAGGAGAATTCAACGTATAATTATATTTACTTATACAAAAATCTATTTATGACCAAATATACATTAAATGGTAAGAATTCTGTAGTTGAAGTGGTTAAAAATACTTACTCCTTACCCGAGTTTCTAGGTTCGATTACCTTCTTCCTCAATTTCACTTATATAAAAGAAAAAACAACCATAAAAAAGAGATGTTGATATGTATGATACTTACATCGAATTTATAGTAAATTTCACTTATATAAAAAGAAAAAATGACCATAAAAAGAGATGTTGATATGTATGATACTTAAATCAAGTTTATAGTAAATGTTCCGTGATAGAACACTTTATTTTCACTAGTGTACGTGCAACACTACACAATTCTACTTACTTTTTCAACTATACTTTTTGCCTTTATGTTTTTTGGGGCTTTTGCCTAGTGTTCGGGTTCCCCGTGTCTTTGGACTTCGGTGATGGAAAAATGAAACCCACTTTTCCCCTTTAGTCCGAAGTGAAAACTACTCACTCAACTCCTTTAATAACTTTTTGGATTTGGTTTGGAGAGAAAACAAAAATAAAAGTTAACAACTTGTGCAACTAGGAAAATCAGACTAGTTGGTGTCTTGTTCTTGCTTCTAGCCAGCAGCCTCCAACAATATTTGGCATATTGTGATCCTGCCCATCATCTTGTGTAACAGGCTGGCTTAGATTTTGAAGGCTGATTCTCTGCTCTCTACATGCTACCATTTAATTATATCTTCTCACATCAATCAAATTCAGAATTTTAACCAAATCACAAGTGACACCACCATACAGTTTTCGGCTACTTGCAGGGCCTTTTATTGCAATGTATGGAATTATGTTATCTGTCATATCAGGCACCTTTCCAAAGCCAGCTACAAAACTTCTGGCAAATCTGGCCCTTTTTTGAAAGACTCTAAACATTTTTCGGTCACCCTATCTCTTTCCTTCTTGTTTTTTTTAAGGAAAACTCGATGATATATATGTTCTTCCATTCAATTCTCAATATATAACCTCCAAGTACGCGTAATAATGGAATATGAATTTGGGACATCTTTCGTTAGTACAAAGAGAAAAATACTACTAGACCGAGAGCTAGTTAGTCACCGCTAGTATTGTAGTTGCTAAATCACGACTTGTTAACCAAAATGAGAAAAAGGAAAACAAAATGATTCATTTTCAGCTGGTCAAATAATTTGTTTTCATTAGGCTAGGACCCGGGTGAAGGCGGCCAACCCATTATAGTTTGGCCTAATTCAATTATAGAGTACTTCCTTCTGCTTTCCATAACACCTGGACCACATCCAGAAGTTAAAATGGAGCATTCATCAGAGGAGGGTGCGGCTACGAAACCCATCAACATTTAAGTGAAAGTCTAAATCATGCATTGCCCTGACTTTTGGGCAGCCCCAGCAGCAAGATGTGCCAAGCCTCTCAAAATCACAGTCACATGAGCTTTCTGATATTGTCTATAGGGTACAAAATTTAAAACGCCTAATAAAAGAGATACTATCATTATATCATACTAGGAAAGATATAGCCAGCCAGCTAATAGACAACTAAGCAAGATTATGAATGTGGTTTTGAACCTCCCTAAAACCTCTCCCAATAAATACCAAAAACTCCAACCATTTTGATTCAGCTATCTGATATAATAAAAGCTAAGATGGCATTTTTGCAGGAAAAACTCCCCTGCTTTTGTGTTTTAATTTTGTGTATGGCAGTACTGGTTTCTTCACATAATAGATACTACACAATCCCAAGCGTTCCACGTTTGACAGACGCTTTCCCTCGCGTACCAATTAGTAATGGGTTTTCGAAAGCTTTCGGAGGCTCAAACATTCAGGTGATCAATGGATCCATGGCCACTCTTGCTCTTGACAAGTCCTCAGGTGAAGTCCTTATTCAGAGTGATGCTTAATTATGACCCTGATGATTTTTAAGTTGTAGTT